TGCTTCTTCCCCTCCTGATATTTTCAGATGTTTTCACTATATTATTTTTTAAAGTTAGCTTTCTGCTTTTGACCCCTTTTAAAGGTCCAGGTTTCTCTCACTTCATGCTGTACATGCGTTCCTGGAAAACGGTGCATAACTCAAATTTGCATAATGGGAACCCACTTTACAATGTAACAAATAAGGATACATTCCAAGACCTCAACTGTACTGACCCCCAGACCCAGTTCTACCACTTTTACAAGACCGTTTTGGTACTTACCAACAGCAGACAGTACACACAAGTACAGGGTGGTGGTGAATATTTAGTTGGTGTGGAAAGAAGGTGGTGAAAGGTGTTAGGGTTAGTGACGTTCTCTTGTGCTTCATTGATGGACCAGAGAGAGGGGTAGGAGATAAGTTAGCAGTAGGAGATAAGCTAGCTGGACGCTTGGAAGCCATAATGGGGGTGGCAACTACAGAAACACATGTTGCAGACAAGGAGTGAGGAGCACAGAACCACACAGGAAACTATATTTTGGTGCGCATCACTCCCACAATGCACCGCACAAAGCAGCTGACTGCAGGCTTCCGTCACACCTATCACAAAAGACTGAATTTACCTTGCATATAACAACTTTTTGGTATGAAAAGGGCATCTCATAAAAGCGAATTCGCACATACAGAACCAGCATAAAGCGAGGGAAACCTGTATTTGACTTTTTTTTCCCATTGTTTTATTTTTAGCTGTTCTTATGCATAACTGCCCCACACTCGTGTGTGTATCATTACCTTATATTATTTACGAGGTGGTTAGTACTAAAGGTAAGTTCATTTGCACATAATACAATGCACACATTGTATTATAATTAGTATCCATATGCAGTCTATAGAGACTGCAGTGTTTAGGTATCTTTAAAGCACAGGATTGGTAAAGAGAAGTCATTCCTTTCTGCTGAAGAGTGGTTTCTAGTGCTTTCTGCTAGAGTTTAATCTTGGTGAACAGAGCTCTATAATATTAACCTGACACCAAGAAAAAAAAAACCTGGATCTTTTTTATAATACTTTATTAGAGCACAAGGATTGTAAACAATATATATATTTTAAAATAGCAAAATACATTGGAAAACTTTGTTCCATAAAAGCAGTTCCTCTTTACTTCCAGCACCAAGGACAAGGCTAAAGATTATGCCAGCCTTGACCCACACCCCTTGAAGACTTATCAGACACACATACTTCTGGGAGAACTTGCACATAAAAGTAAGTGTGTGCATTAGTGTTTTCAGGGTTAATGCCTTAAAATGGTTCTCTTAGGACTCAGCTCAAGCACTTTGCCTCATATCCAGAAGTGTCAGCAATCTCATTAGAACATTGTTATCTCTATCCTGCCCCATGTGGAGTAGGGCCCCATTCTCCAAATAGTCCCATTGACCCTGACTCTTTATTTAGGATATTTTTATTTGTCAACATACACTACGCTGATTCTTGTTACAGATGCCTTATTCTAAAATGAATCCCATGAAAATAATGTTTTGTCAAGGCTTAATTGCAGTATTTTGACTCCTGTTGTGTAGTTCTCCCAACGTATGAGTAGTTTCAGGTATTATACTACTCGCATAGTGGGGTTCTACACAATGTAAAGCAGGATTGGGTCTTGGAGATAAAGATCCTTGTGTCAAAGGAGCTGCTTTTTTTTTTTTAATCCACACTCATCTTTTCAACTATTCTTCGTAAGGAATTGCTTCGGCAATTTCTTGTGTGCAACAATATAAAGGACCTAACAGAGCCCAATCTCCTTAAAATAAAAGGAATGGGACATTTTAAAGAAATGAGCATCTGTGATTTAGCTAATTTTACTCAGCAAGCAGCAATTGTGATCCATGTTTGGGTCCACTGAACAGCATTTCTATAGCAGTTGAAAATTCATTTCATTTCATTATCTGAACTGTTCAAGCACCCCAGTCTGGATCAGAGAAATCTTCCTAAACCTGCAGGAAACCCATTTACCCCCGCTGAGGCTCCAGCTTCCTTTCTTATTTTAAGGTAGAGTTGTCTTGCTTACAAATTCTGGCAGATATATATATATAAGATTTGTATTGAAAAGGAAAGGAACTTTTACTGAAATCTACAGTGCATAGGAGTGGCATTATTACTCTTTTCTGTTTCATTTAGGTCTGTTTCAAGGCTACTTTACTGATTTCTCATCTGTTACAAATACAGTTCTTGATACATTAGAAAGGAGAGAGCTGCCTCTGAGGTGATGCCATGTAGAACAAGGGGAAGACCACCTAAGCTCTGAGATTTTACTAATGAAGAAAGTTGCAGTGTCGTTAAGTTGAGAAAAGAAAAAAATGCAGTCATCAAAGTGGAGTGTTTTCAACTTAGGGACAAATGAATGCAGAGATGTTTGTGGTTGTAAAGATTCTTGACAGCAAGTACCTACCCTCATCCAGAACATGACTGCCTCCCAACCCACAATGCAAAACTTGACCTAGATTCAGTTCTTGCTTATGCTGGTTCCATACACAATAATTTCACAGCAGTTAAGTGATTTGCTTCATATTGGCACCACCATAAATGAAATGAAACGTTACATAATTTATTTCTATCATGAATATTAGGTTCCTGTGAATGCAGAACATTTACAGACTATATGGCAGATTTCTGCATTGTGTGCCAGATTATTAATCTGGACATAAATGAATACATTCAGATGCACTACATTAAACTGAGAAGGGTTAGCTCAATTAGATCAGAATTCGATCCCCTGGAATAACATGCAGAAACTACATGTGACTATTGGTCCCATGAGAGGTTATTATCAAATAAATTAGCAAAACTGTTCTGAAGTACCCATACATACTCACAGAAAGTTACTAAGATGAGACCAATGTGTCTGAAAGAGGAATTTCCACATGTAAATGAGATTCATGAGTCAATCTGAACTCTACATCTCAAACTTAACCCACAGGATTGAATTTTTTCCCTTTGCTTTTCTCTTGGATTAAAACACTGTGTTTACTCAATTCCAAAACAAGATTTTTTTCCCCCATTCAACAAGTAACAATTTAATATCTGCAGTCAAAGGCAGCAGGAATCCACCTGACAAGGCACAGGGTGGTGCAGCACCCAGCACAGTGGCAGGTGGGCAAGGTGTGTGTGTAGGGGGTAAGGAGTCTGGGTCAGTCTAGCTGTCTACCTCCCCAGCCACTTGCCTTTTCCACCGCTTGTTCCCCTGCTGCTGCTGTCCCTGCCACAGCAGTTGGGGGAGAGGTATTTAAGATGACCTTCCAATAGCTAGATTCTATACAAAAAATTATAACAAACTTATAATTTTCTGTATATAGAATATAAATTTGGGGGTCATCTTAAATGTGAAGTCATCTTTGATTCAAGCAAATATGGCAATTTGACAAAGAAATATTAGGGTTCTTTTTCCCGTTACCCTGTCATGTTAATTAGCCACAGATCACAAGGAGAGAGGAGTATTGGAATCAGTTTAACGAGATACATGTAAAGAGTTGGAGGCCAGGACTTCCTGCCATATTTCCCCCTCTCATGTCAAGCACTGTTCTGGAGATTCCTGCTTTCTTGGATTGAGCAATGGACCTAATGAAACATGTCGCTCACCCTCTGCGATACGATTCTCTCTCTCTCTCCCATGAATGTGTTTTCACCTTGGTCCATATCTTTGTAAAACAAGAGAAAGAAAGAGAAGCAGTGATTATACAAATGCCATGTTAATGGAATAAGGATATGCTGGAACTGATCTTAGATCTGCTCCATTTTCACTAAGCACCATGATAAACTGAGTTCCTCAAAGCAGAAAACATTGTACTTTGGTACTTGGAAAGTTCCTTCTTGCATTTGTACTCTGTTTAATGGAGTATGGGAACACCTAATGCATAGTGGATGCTACCATAAAATGCGGCTGAACAGCTCTATTTCCACAACAGGAAGCACAGCATCTTGCAAACAGCCAGTTATGGAATTTCACAGAACTCAGGTTTCAGCAGAGTCAATACTCCGTTTCAGACAGTCTTCTGCGGAGCTAGGTGATCAAGTTGATAATCCTGTGTGATATTTAGGGTGCAAGATCTGTTGTAGCCACTATGATCTAGGAAATATGTGAGAATCAAGATTTTTTTTGCTTTTTTACTTTTTTTGCTTTTTTCTTTTTTTGTTTTTGGACAAACTCAATAGTTGGAAGAGAGGTTAGGTAAGCTTTTGGGCAAAAAGTATCTTTCCTCAGGTCTTGGAAAGAAGCAGAAACAGCTTAAGATAAATACCAGGTAAATACCACTGTAGGCTAAATGCCAGGCATTCCCACACAGTGTCTTTGAATGAACCACCTAGCACAAACCTACAATACAAAAAACTCACCCCCCACTGACTGCACACCCCTGGTTGTCAAATACCATTCCATACTTGAACGTATAAGAAGTCTTTGAACAGTTACAACCTATACTGGAAGAGGACCAAACCTTGAGAGAAATATTTCCAACCCCCACTGCTTCTGGCTTTCAAATAACCCTCAAACCTCACCTTCAGCAGCAGCAGCAGCAAGCTTCATGATCAGCCAACACCAGGTGGAACATGGTCTGCCTAAACAGCAAATACAAAACATGTGAAGCCATCCGCATTGCTGCAACAGTCAATACACCCCACAATGAAACCATCAGAAACCAGGGATCCTCCCCATGTCTATAGCACATCCGATGCAACGAACACCCTTGTGGAAACGACGTGGGTGAAACTGATGATTATGCTAGAGAATGAATTCTTACGGGAAAGCAATGGAGGACAGAAACACCCAGTCACTAGTGAAAGAACACTTCATAGAACAGTCCCTCCATTTCTGCCCTCACAATCATTGTCATTAAGACACATTTACAAAACATCTCCAGAAGACTGGCCCTGGTACAAAAAAAAAATTGTAATTTTACTGAACATTCAAGACCCTGAACATAAATACTGGTTTGATGACCTGTTACAATGTAGCTGCTCTCTGCTAACCTCTCTGTGTGAACTCTCCAGGTGATAATGACCCTCTTTCCTTCTGATAACGTCTTTGCTCGATGTGGTTACAGGCCTCTTTCACTTCTTGGGGTTCAATTTTCATTTCCATTCTGGAGTTAAATAAAAGTCATTGCTTTATCTAGTATTTAATTCAGGCTGTCTCTGCTTCTTTTCCAGAATTGAAGAAGTGCAGGCTTTGCATCTTTTCCAGAGCTGAGGATGGGCACTTTGTGCCTGAAAGCTTGACATTCAGCATTGATCTTGAGGATACCCCCAATAAGCCTGAGCTATGTGAGCCACCCTTCTCTGACTATATCATAATTTGTAGTGCACGTCATAGTTGTCCATATTGCATCGTTTACTTGTGAAGTGGACCACTTCTAGAAATCAGTCTTCAGACTACTCTCTCCTAGCTTTGTCTCTGCTTACAGGCAGTGGAGCTAAGTGGGAAACTGGAGGGTTGAAGTCAGGAAAAGGGCATTTTGAAATCGCTGCTGACAGACTACTTGTGTTGAAACCTGAAGACTGGGAAATTTCCAAACACAGTGCAGAAAGGGGAGGACTAGGAAGTAGGTGGTGGGAGGCTCAGTCCTGTATGCTGAAGTTCAAAACAGTGTTGAGAGTAAATCTAGATTGCTTCCAGTGCTGAGCTCAGTGGATTATAGTATAGAACAGCGGTGCTCAACCTCCAGCCTGTGGGCCAGATTGAGCCCTCCAGGATGTGTTGTCCAGGTCAGGGGGCTCCCCATGGGTCCAGGAATGTGGTGGTGACACAGCAGTAGCAGTATTGTCACTTCCCCACTACCAAATTTCTAGACCTGTGGGGAGCCCCATAGACTGGATGATGTGGCCTCCACTCTAGATAGTGCTGGTACATGGGGTCACTTAGTAGCTGGATCTGGTGTGTGGAGTCAGGCCATGCGTGAGATTGGGTTTGTATGCCAGCCCACACCCACGGACTGAATCTGCACTGGATCAGGCCTGGGACTGACCCTGCTGTAAGATCCGCCCTACAGAGCGGCCCGGTGCCACTCATCCAGCCTGGGGTAGCTGAAGGTTGAGCACCCCTGATAGCCATGGTCAGCACAGCTCAATTCAGAGGCATTACAACATAATACAATCACACTCCAATCACATTATAACTCATATATTCTAGACGTTTCTTAATGATTTTTTAATTATATCTTTTATTTTTGTGGAAAAACTGTAACACAAAAGAAAACTGCTTTTGAAAACCTGAAAACTAAGAGTTTTGTTAATTTTCTTTTTTTGTTAATATTTTTCCACTTTTGAGGGGAGGGACCAAACTATTTTGTTCAGTATTTCTTTGTAAAAATATCAAATTTCAGGGGGAAAAGATGGAGAATTACTTTTGTTAAAGAAGAAATACTTTCTATTCTTTACTAAATATTGATAACTGAACCATGAAGACCTGTAAAAACTGATGCCTTCATTTGCCAAAGACTAAGGCAAAAATCAATAATGCAGGAACCAACACGTGCCTTGTCCCCAAGAACATGTCTTTTATTACTGTAGAATCTAGAGGTCTCCTCCCAGTGGTAGTATTAAGTGTGTATGTCTGTGCAGAGTCACAGCCAGGAAGAAAAACAAGGAAAAAGAAACCGGGACAAAATAAAACTAGTTCAGGATGTTTACAAAAAGTATCTTTTTTTACTGTACACCACATGCTAAATATAAAAGGGAAAAGACATAATTCATTAGGACACTGGGCAGACAGAAGGGCTCTAGAAGACTACAGAGACCTGGAGTTGGAATATTTATATGGGAAATAACTTCAACTTTTCCCCTGGCAAAAGGTGAAGATGACAACAATTGGTGCGGGCAGACCATGCAAACCTACCTCTTCTACAACCTCTGTCAGTGCCAGCTGATTTTCACTGACATCTTGGCCATGTGACCGAAGTAACTTGGCTTGACATCCATAACATAAAGGAATTGATGTGTTGCAGGAAAGGTAAATAGAGGGCACATTTACATGTTCGTTAATACGACATTAAGTTGAGTACCTGTAACGATAGATAGATAGATACTAACTTAACATGTCGTAATCAGCACTACTGCATGTTAGCACAAATGACCGGTCATTTTGTGACATTAAGACACAGTAGACTAAATCTTCTGCGTATGAATGCATTAGCACGGGTTTTGCCTGCCATGCTAATGCACAATAGAATTAGTCTACTGTCCTCGAAGCACCTTGTGTAGAGGCACCCAGAGAGACAAATTCTCTGTGGGCCAAGTAGGGACAAATTTCATTAGCATCAAATGGGCTTTGCTGTACATATCCCAGCAATTATTTTGCTCTCCTGAAGTAAACAGTCTGCAACTGGGACTTTGCTGTCTTGTCAGACTGCCATGCATTGAATAAAGCTAACGCTAGGTGGCAGAACAGTGTCACGTTACAGGCTGCACAAAGCTCTCCCACTGGCGCTCTTTCTGCCCAAAGATGCATTTCATGCAGTTCTTCTCCTTATCATTAAGAAAGATCTGAACCAGGAGAAAGAGCAATGGCTGCAATGATTCATCTATATGGTATACAAAGCAGGTGGGGCTGTAGTGTGCTGTAAAGCCTCTTTACATATGGAAGGAAGGATTCCAGCTACCCTGCCCAGATAATACACTTGATTTTAACTACTGTTTTATTTTACCTTTGTGTAATTGTTGCCTGCTTCCTTGTAAGGTAAAATCGCACATATTGTAACAATGCAAAGTTACTGCAGAAAGTGACATGCATGATTTCTCATTCTCAAACTGACTCCCAAAATGTTCAGTAAGGTTTAACTAGAGCTTAAGAACTCACCCAGGGTAGCCTGTAACTTTTTGTAGTTGCATCAGGCAAGTTTCATTGTGTCCCATCTATTAGGCTTCACTTTACAATGAATTAGCTACATGACTTGAATTGGGAGGTAACAACAGTCACCAGTTAAAACCTCATTTACATTCAAGATAGCTACTGGATTGGGTTTGATCTCCAGAGACAAGGGTTTCAATTTAACACTGATCATCAGCTAAATGAAGAATCCTTTACAGAAATAATTTCAGACCTTACCTTACAGAAGCCTAGAGATAAATTGCTTAGAGACCAAATTAGTTTTCTAAGCCAAAAAAATGCTACATTAATATCTTTGTGAATTGCTTCTTGCAATCAATATTTAAGTTCCTATGGGCTGTTTCTCCTTAGTTTTTTTTCTAATTTACAGTAGTTATTATGACTTTCAGTTCCTTATTCAGACTTTGCAAATTACATGTCATCCATTACATAACTAGATTCCCCATGATGCTGGGTCAATAATGTCATGTAAAGTAGCCAGGAATTTACTCTAATGCCTAGTTAAGAAGTAATTACTTACATGAGCAGTAATAGCTGCTTTTCTTTAGTTCACTTCCAGTGTTTCCTCAGTGCTTGGAATTGTTTAGGTCCTCTACATCTCCTAAAAGATTACACTAGGGGGCACACCAAGCACTGTTTACCTTCAGTATCCCTCTTCTTCCTCGTTAGTCAGTTCCTGGCTATTTTCGTCATCCTATTCTTATAAATATAGCACTGGAAGGTACTTCCTGCCTCTCCTAGTCCAGTCCCCTGCTATGCAGAGGGACATCTGCATCATATAAACTAGGGGTTTTCAACCTTTTTTAATAAGTGTACCCCCAGTGGCCAGGTGTGTGTGTGTGGGGTGGGGGGAAGTGGTGTATGGCCAGATGCAGAACAGCAGTGTGGGGTGGTAGATGGCAGTGGCTACCACTGCCCGCGCATGCAAACCCCGTCACCCCGCCACATCTGACCGGCCAGGTGGTACCTGTGCAGCCCACGAAGGGGTGCTGCTGCCCTTGCCCCACCCTGGCCCTGTTCCTGGGAGGTGGCAGCATGGGGTGGTGGGTGGCAGCACTCTGTCTCTGCTCACCCGTGCATACCCCCTAGGGTTTTCCTAAGTATCCCCAGGGGTACATGTAGCTCCAGTTGATAACCCCGATATAAAACTTTCTGCCAACTGATTGAACTCATTCAGTCGAGTTGCTCTTTCAGAGCATGTCAACGCTGCCTCTGGGGCAATCCTGGGAGCACTGCTGAGAAGCATTGCCTTGCCCACTCCCTCCTCCTCAGTGTATGAAAACCCAGAAATTAGACAGCTTAGCCTGGCATTGAACATGAAATACAGAGACTGAGAGTGACTCTGGGCTCATGCTCCAGACCATACTAAACTGGCTACACTGCCTAATTTCTAGGTTTTGGTCTGTAGCAGGGGGCCTTCTCTGGGCCGATTTGCCTTTAGCTTGCCCACCGGTTTCTGTGCCAACCCCCCACCTTCCTGCCTGCCATGCCTTGTTGTTAATTAATTAATGATCTTAATTAGGCGGGAGGCTGCCCATTTCTTGCCCCAATGCCAGGGGGTGCTATCTGCGGCTCCGTACCTTCCCCACACCGCAGCCCATGCCTCGCAGATGGCATCTACTGATATTAATCTCACAGGCCCCACACTGGGCCCTAGACTTCTCTAATCAGGACCCCTCCAAGATCTCTCCATTTCAGCAGCCTACCCCACCTTCATTCAGTCTGTCTAGCTCCCTGAAACTATTTTCCCCTCTTGGGTGTGGTCCCCCTGGGACCTTTGGCCATACAGGCCCTAGCCTCACCTCCAAGGCCAGTTGGAAACCCCAGGCCCTCTTAGCTCTGGGCATCCCTTGCGGTGGGCCTCTGGCCCTTTTGACTGCTCTGGTCCTGGCCCCAGCATTGACCAGTTGAGGGTACTCTCTCTATCAGGTCTGAGTCTCTAGCCCCCAGTCAAGGGTACTCTCTTTATCAGGTCTGAGTCTCTAGCCCCACTCTTTCCCCTGGGGTCTGCCCTCTGGGCCCTAGTAGCAGGTGACCCACCCAGTTGTGGAAACTGGAGTTAGGTGCCCAAACCTGCCTTTCACCGGGGTGGTAACTGGCCTGGCATTTCCTGGAGGCTCCCGCGCCACTGAGAGCCCCACCAGGCCAGCCACTCCCAGCAGGGTGCAGTTTTAGGTCATGCCCAGGACAAGGAGCCTCCTAGCCATCCCCTACAGCTCCTCCCTTACCTCCAGAAAGTGGCAGGCACCAACAGTGCCCTGCCACATGGCCTATAATGTGTAGCAGTAAAGTATGCTCCTCAGAGGTGTTTTTGAGCTCACTGTAGGGACAGTGTAGACCTGGCCTCTACAGTGACTGTTCTTCTGGCACTTGCCAGACCTGCTTCACCAAAGACCTGGCCACTTCCAGTCCTCTGCTTGCCATTCTTGTGATTGTATTTTATAGCTCAGAAACTTCCATCCATATTTATTATATCTTTCCTCTAATAAATGTTACATTGAGATGAGCATGTAAATGTGGGCTTAGTGGTAACCGTGTTGATTCCAATATATCCAATTACGTATTTCAGGTTATATGTGTGCTTAAGTACTTTGTAGTATTGAGTGCAGCAAACTTAGCACCTTCTAGCACCAAAACCATAGACAGGATATTTAATTAATATTCCTCATAGATTTAAGTGAATGATTTTATATTGCCCAAATATAGTTATGGTAGGGAGTGGGTTGTTATAGTTTTCCTGTCAACATAATTTTACAGACATTAAATCTCAGCATTTCAGGAACTCTTGATTGCTTTCTGCTAGTGTATATATTTGGGGGAAAAAAAGTTATCCAACAACTACATGGATAAATTCTACTGAATAAAGAAAAGATTCTCTTGAGATCTCAGGAAATCATACATGTAATTAGTAAATGTAGACTTTTTTCTGTGCCCTAATCCTGTTCATTTTTTGAAATGCATGTTTTATTCACAATGATTTGGAAAATAATTTCTGGGTTTACTCTTTTGTCTTTAGGTCATTCACGCAAAATTCAAACTAGCATGTGATATTTTAAATCTAAATTGTTTTGCTTAAGTTTTGAATCAATGTGCCAGATACATGGTCTGTTGCTGTTCCCTTGCTGGGTGAACATAATGCTTGTTAACAGATTTCTAATACAAATATTTTCTCTCAGTTTCTCTGCTTTACTATTTACTTCAGACGGTCATCCACTGCCATGTTGTCCTATAAGTTCCCTCTAATTTTACATACCGTTTGTGCCTACACTCTGCTGAAAAGTAGTTGGTTAGAAAAATAAAACTGTGTGAATCTACATGTTCATTAATATACTTTGGGTAATGCGTATTAAATGTAGTACCTCCATTATGAACTACTAGAAAAGGTGCATTAGCCTATTTTAATGTGCATTAGCTAAAGAGCACAGTTTTTTGTGACACTTTAATGCACAATAAAATAGGCTAATGTGCATTAAAGCACACATGTAGATGTGCCAGCTGTGAATAAGAAAATCTCATAACTACATTATCATTTGATCTAGAATTCTTCCTTCAGGGCTGGTTGTCACAGGGGACAAGAGAACATTTGAAAAGCCATGGGCTGATACATGGACTACCATATCATTCATGACTCATAGTGGGTGCAGATACACGAGCTTTAATGAGCATTAAAGAGTCACATAAAAACTGTGACATTACGCTGTCGTGCAGTAAAATAGTCAATTCATAGATTCATAGAGTTGGAAGGGACCTCAGTGGGCCATCTAGTCCGCCCCCCTGCCCCTGGCAGGCAAGAAAAGAGTCACCAACCCTGGGGTCATATGATCTCAGCCAGGTGCCTGTCCAGTCTCCTCTTGAAGACCCCCAAGGACGGGGCGAGCACCACCTCCCTTGGGAGCCCAATCCAGATTCTGGCAGCCCTGACCATGAAGAGCTTTCTCCTAATGTCCAGCCTAAACCTTCTCTTCAGTAGCTTATTGCCATTGTTCCTTGTCGTTCCAGGGGGTGCCCTGGTGAACAGATTGTCGCCTACTTCACGTTGCTCTCCCCTTATGAATTTGTACACCACCACAAGGTCCCCTCTCAGCCTTCTCTTGGAGAGGCTGAAGAGGTTAAGGTCCCTTAGCCTTTCCTCATAGGGCCTTCCCTGCAGGCCTCTAACCAGGTGAATGGCTCTTC